TGCTTTCGGGGGAAGTATTTGCAAGAATCTACAAAGAGTAAGTGATAACAGATTCAATTAACTTAAATTATTACATTTCTAATGTACAAATAAACAGGGCAGGAAGAAACTTCGATTGTGGTTCCAATTTCATCCCATCTTCTTAATTGTATGTGCAGTAACACCACACCTTGACATTTGCAAAGTAGCATCAGATCACCCCGAGGTGGAAATGTGATTCCTAGCCCATGATTATGTAAAATTAAACTGCTGCATAAGTACATTGAGAATTTGACAGGACAACTCCTGCATCAGGAGGCAAATAATTAACAACTTCATGAGTGATTTCCAATTTGTTAAAAAAAATATGTAGGAGTAAGAAACAGTATCTCCAGCATTGTGCAGTCGTACTTTTTGGTTTGTTGAGCCTGTTTCTACGTACTATTTTGAGCATTTCCATCAGCTGTATTGTAGCAGACTTAACAAAAAGATACACTATAAATCACTCTGGATGTTAGAGCTGACAGCTGTAAATAAATAAGCTGACAGTTCAAATAGCTGTTCCATTGACAGTGTGTAGTCTAAATGTGTCAACAAATGTGTCGACTCAGCAGTTTGGCATTAGTTTAGCAGATAAATTACAAAATAGTGCTGTGATTGAGCAAAAAGCACAATGCCTGCGTGTCCCTGGTCTGCACGCTTTGTTTGTGCTGTAACAGGCCTTTGTAGCTCCATGTGATAATACAACACTGCAGCTAGATGCAGGGGTCCTAAGAGCATTGTTCATCTCTCCCAGTTTTCTTCTTACTGCAATGTCAAGGCATGTGAGCAATTGAGTGTCATGGTGAGTAGAGATGGTTTAATAATGGATGTATTTGCTTTGCAGGATCAGAGATTTCATAAAGGAAGGTAGTAACTTTGTACTAGCTTTGGTTATGATTAAGGATACAAAGTCACTGATAAACAATAAAAAGCTACTTTAATGCTTGAGATATTTAAATGTTCTGTTTTGTTTAATGTGTTTAACAGGAATGCCGAGGTGTTGTTACTAGCCTGCATTTGTAGTACATGTGAAAGAAAAGCTAGAAAGAGAGGATGAGGAAGGGGGACAGTTAAAAGGATTTCAGCTCTGAAGATGAATTATACTAATACGTTAATTATTTCCCTGCTGATCACAGCAAGAAATGAGAGAGAGAATTACGTGAAAAATGATTGCCTATTTTGACATATTTAAGGCGTGGTGGTTTTTACGCTTAGAGGTTGAATAAAGCCACTGTTTATTCTTTTGTATTTTTATTTTAACTATTCACAGACAGGATAACATGCCACAAGGTATTATGGGGTAAATAATGTGAACATGAAATGGAACTCTGGAGATCTGTATTTTAATGGAATCGCAAGTATTCTGGTGTTTTCTAAAAATGTATTTTTATAGTTGTTGTGTCTAGTGAATAATTTTGGTATACAATGTACAAGGGATAATTCTTCTTTTGCAATCTGTAAGCACCGTTGTCAGTATAGGTGATTTCTGAATGCTGCCTCTCATGTCAAACGTTTATAGTGAATGCTGTTTATTAATGCGGTTCGTATTTCCATCCCATTCATTAAATATAGAAAGTAGCTGCTCATTCCCTTCAATGAGCACCAATATCCACATGTTAAGTGATGGTTAAATATGGTACATATCTTTAGTTTTTCCTTCCTTGTTGTCAAAAAAGCCCTGCCCAGGAGCTTTCTCAATGACAAGTCCCTACTTGAAACAGCTGGTATTCTCCATACCATGTCTCTAGGAGGAGGCTTACTGATGACATTTTGTTTTAGGCCATGGAGCAGACAGGTATCTCTGCCAGTGAGTAAATCCAGTTTGACTTATCACTGTCACAGGTTTTACAAGAGCATTCAAAAGCATGATTTAGCATTTCAGGGATTCCAGGGAAGGGATAAGTTGTTTTGACTTGAAGTTTCTTCCACTTCAGAAATCCTACAAGTCAAGAAGTTTTCCTTTACTTAAAATGTTCTCCCACAGAGAACACTAATCTACTGGAGTAGCTGCTGTACTATTAAGGCTTTTAAGGTACTTTTTTCCTGATGGAAGTGCATGGAAAGGTTCCTTTAACCGCGATATTTTGGATGTTAGAGAGATCTCAAAATATCTCACGTAGATTAAGCGGGTAATATTTTTTCTGTTTGGTGCCGTAGTGCACAACAAACAATTGAGACATGTTTTGAGTTAGTAATGATGAACACGATTTTTCTAAAGCCTTTAAATACAAACTCGTAAAAAGGGTACGTGTCAGGCCAAGAAGTGCTTCCCTAGTCTTTTTGTTCCTTGCCTCTTGATTGGGCCTAAGTACATTTTGTAGTTCAGATGTTTTACAGTAACTTCAGGTGCAGATAGCTGTGATACAGTCGTCTTTCTGGGAAATGAAGAAAGTTCTAATTTTGCTCATGGATTTGTTGTGGGCCAGGACACTGCATGAATCTTCTGTCCACCCTCTGTTCAGTGACCTGCTCCAGCAAGGTGTAGCATCTTAGTGGAGACCAACAGAATTTGTACTTTGCCTCTGGGTTGCTTTGTCTAGGTCCATGGTGCAAAGGCTGAGATGCTGAGAAGAGCTCGAGTTCAGAGTGCAACAGCAACTGGAAAATTCTTGATTTTACATACATTTGCCTGCCTGATGTAATACGATTAGTCAAGGTCAGGACACTTAATTGTCAGTGAAATGGAGAGCGATTTGTTAGTTACTTACATGTGAACAAGTCCAAGACCCTTCTGTCATCAAACTGGTTTCACTGCCAAGAACACACTTTATTTCTTGTGACTATCCTGTGACATCCATCTTACGCCGTGAGAATCTCCATGGGTCAGATCCTCAGCTTGTGTAAATCTGAGTAGCTCTGTTTAAGTCGTTGATACTTTAGTGATTTATGCTAGGTGAGCATATGTCATAATGTTATGAAATATTATTAAAATTCAGTGTTCATTTTTTATCGGTTTATATTATTTTTGCACAATAGAAGGAAAAATATGATGACCATATTAAATTGTCACGTATACTGAGTATACCAGCTTACAAACAACATGTACCCTAAATTAAGCTGTTTGAGAACGTTTTAAAATGGGACAAAAATTCTGTTTTCAACCATCAATTGTTAAGAATTGTAGATTAATATATACTTTTTTTTTTTAAAGGCAGTAGATGTTTCTTGGCTGGTTCTCCAGTACTTAGCTCCCCAAAGAGTAGATGGCTGCAGAGAAGACATAGAGGTGAGTACTCAGGGATGAATCATTACAGAATTTGTATTGGTGCAGCTGTCTAGGGTGTCTTGGAGGATGGCACTCCATGAACATTTTTTCACACTGAGTAAAGGAGAAATTTAATTTACAAAACTGCTTTTGCTTCAGTGATGAATGTGTTTGAGGCCAACAGGAATTTTTCAATTACTGTTTTGTTAGGTTTGCTAAATACAGGTTGGGAGAGAGAAAAAGGCCTAGCATATCGAAATTCTTCACCATGAGGGTGGTGAAACACTGGAACAGGTTGCCCAGAGAAGCTGTGGCTGCCCCCTCCCTGGCAGTGTTCAAGGCCAGGTTGGATCTGAGCAGCCGGGTCTGGTGGAAGATGTCCCTGCTCATGGCAGGGGGGGTTGGAACCAGATGATCTTTAAGGACCCTTCCAACCGAAACCATTCTATGATTCTATATCAAAGCATTGGCCATATGGACTCTGTATTTGTGACTTTGTTGCTCCCAAAGTACATAGCCCTTTTTGCAAGCACATTCAGATTCTTTAGTCTCTTCCCCAGCAATAGCTGGCTATCTCATAAACATTCAGCTCTGGTTTTGGTGTTTTTCTGTACAATTACCAGTATTTATAGAGACTTTTGGAAAGCAAAAAATGTGGTTAATTTTAAATGTAGTCATTTGCAGAAAAGGAAGATGTGCATTGAAATTGCAGTGACTCTAAACCATTCCCTTTGCTGAAAAGGCTGCAGTTGTGTTCTAGTGACACCTACAAGCTTCATGTGTATGAACTGCAGTATATAGCACTTGCTAATGTTGAGAAGTGAATATATAAATACTCCATCAGAGCATCTGAACATCCCTCTTTTCTAGTGACTGAATTGTTTGTTTATAAAAAGACATTTCTTCAGCATCCCCAGAGATGGATGCTTTTGTGAAGGACATTTTCAGTATGGCAGACATAGCCCTGAAATACTGGGTAAAGTACGTTGGAGCTTTCTCAACATGCATTTCTACAGATTCTTCCTCCGCACTTTTAGTCCTCCCTATTGAGAAAGCTAGAAAATATGACCAAGAAGATATATTTTGCTTCCCCTCTGCTTTTTAAAGCCTTACAGTTATCTGAAACCTCAAGTCCGTGTAGGCTTTCCTTTTAACTCTTTCTGCAGGAAAACTCTTTCTTGTTGTCTTAGTTGGCTAATGTGAAAAGAGTGGCTTGAAACTGCAACTTTCTCATGCAGAAAAAACTTCTTAAGCAAAAAACTTATGACTGCTTTCCACTTGGAAGTCAGTGAGAGATGTTATCCTCACCTACCTCACAGCTGTATGTGAGCTCCTAGTCTTTGACGAAGATCTGAGTTTTTTGAGAACTTCAAGCTTAATCCAGAAGACCTGTTGTAAACAGAACTCCCACTGATTTCAAAAGATGTTCCATATATAAAGGTCTGATAAGATCAAGATCTTGGAGGGATTAACAGTTTTAGTGTAAGAATTCACACATTTCAGTTCAGCAGTCAGAAAAACAGGCACAAGCCACTCTATGTGGTTAATTTTTATTGGATATTTTTAAGGGGAGTGTCTGCTAAAATAGAGTTTAGAACATGGTAAAAGGTCCACACAATGAAAAAAATAATGAATCAGTGTTTCGTTATGTTGCTAAGGCAATGAAGAAGTAACAGACACTGTCAAGAAAAATAAGGGACTCTTGATTTTCGAGGTTTTGGAGTATCTCATGCAGATTCTTCCCAATTCTGTCTTGTTTGGTTCTTTTGAACCTTCAAGACTGCACCATTTCCTGGAATTCTGCAAAACATAAGAGAATATTTACAGTACAAATATTAAAGTTAAAGGGTTAGGAGTAAAAGATTATTGGCTTATCAAGAGATTTAGAATACGAATAAACAGAAAACAGTTACCTGAAAGATGGCCAAAGGAGAAGAAACATGTATGAAAGAGTGACATTATCTAAAATTCCTCTTCTGAACAACAGATGGAAAGGCAGTGTTTTTCTGACATTTATAAGGAATAACAAAATGTTCAAGGTAGTTTTAGCCTTCTCTCTGCATAATACTGATCTTGGCCAAAAATATTGGAAATTACTAATACAGAATGTGAGTAAGAGGTTAAGAGCTGAAGTAAAAGAATGAGAAGTGAGTCCGTGTGTCTTAGCTGTTTGTAATGATTCAGAGCACAGCCTGAAGCCAAAAACATTGTGCAGTTCCATGTGGTATGATACTGAAGTATTGTGTTGTACAATGAGGTATTGTTATTTGGAAGAACTGTTAAATATTTGGCTTCTGTGAGTTAGATTATCTGATCAATCCTGTCTCTGAACAACTGTATTAGTATACAGATTGCTTCATAAATCATGTGTGTTTATTCTGCAACATTTTCTAAGGAACAGGTTTTAATTCCTTCCAAATAAAGAAATGGAAGAGTTCTGTCTTCCTAGCGCAGTGATCTAGGGAATCTGTGCACCAGCACATTCCCTGCATGCTGTTCCCTAAGCGCCTTTCATGCTTGTCTAGGCAGCTTGCTTCTCTCATGGGGCAAGTTGCCATTGTCTGCAAGCCTTTTGTGTGTGTGCTTCCTGTTCAAAGTGGGGTACAGAAATATGGAATTATGACAGAAATATGGAATTATGAGATCGGGAGGTTTCTGCACTGAGCAGATGTTAAATCACACCGGCATTTCCATCGGGTGAGTGCAATATGCTGCTTCCTAAAACAGCTGCTCCTTCCTGTCTGGTCCTTAACCTGTCACTGAAGATAAGTAGCATCCATCCCCATGCACAGAGCCTGTTGTGGGATCTCACGTTGGGATAGTGACACTTGATCATTCTGTTCTCCTTGTTATGCAGAACAGATATCAAACTATGTGCTGCTAGCTCTTGTGTATTGTGAATGATTTCACTGACTAGTGAAATTTCTGTTGGGAGATGACTGCTGTAAATGAGCCGGTCTACGTGCTGTTGATTCTTATGTGTAGAGCTGGTTCTTTTGTCCTTGATTTTACGTTTGTGTATTACAACTGATGCTAGTGCTGCTTTACATCAGAGTAAGTGGGAGGAGAAATAAGGGGCAGTTCCTTTCAAAACAACTGGAAATTCGTGAGTGAGTGGCAGGGAGAAAGTTCCTTAGGGCAACCTAAGTGGGTTTTTTTGACTTGCTGGTGCAAAAGGAGTTTAAGAGAGGAACTTGTAAGATCAGGGACCATTTCCACCCTTAAACAGGTTGCCACTGCAAGGGTTTCAATAAAATCACTGGAGGTGCATTAATGTACCATCAACATAAAAGAGAATCACACATCATTTACGGCACATCCTGAGGAGCCTTATTCTGTAGATAAATAAGTTAATACCTTCAGCCCCAATTTTACCATCCCCATCATGATCTGCAGCTGCTAAGAAGGTCTTGGTTTCCGAGGTGGTTAACACTCTGGCTCCACACTCAAACCTCTGAAGGAAATACCTAGGAAGAAAACAACTTTGGTTATGATTTTTGCAGAATATTTTTCTTTTATGCTGGCTGTATAATCAAACTGATAGCTATCTATAAATAAATTATTTACTGCAATAGCCAAGTCCTCCAAACATTGCTTTGCTTGACAAGCTAAATCTTAGTCCATATACATTTCTACTTAGTAAGTCCAGCCCTGATACAATTGAGTCTTCCCACTACCAAAATACAGCCCCAGGGAGTTATATTCTTCTATAGGGAGCATTGAAGGCAGATATTTGCCAATTTGTTTTTCTCTGTAGGGATTATCTACTTAAATGCACCTTTCACAGTCTGCTTTTTATCAACATTTAGCATAACTTGTGCTCACATTTACAGAACAGTTCTGGAGAGAAAAAAGTGCTGATTTTTGGATAGCCTCTCAATAGTTAACACAGAAAATCCTTACTTGAGCTCATCTTCCTCAATAAAGCCACTTTGATCGTTGTCAAGAATCCGGAAGATCTCCTTGAGCTGACTGCTACTCTTTTTAGACATCCCACTGATCTGAAAGAATTTTTTGGGACTAAAGGAATCTGGAGCTGAAAATAAATTAATAAATAAATTAACCCCAGACCACTGCGTTCACTGTTCCTAAATGGTCTGGGGATGCTGCTTTGTTATGTTTTAGTTGTTTTAAACATGAGTGATAGATAAAGCCTGTCAAAAAAAGAATTTTGCCATACTGCACCATGCCCTCCTAAACACCAAACAAAAATCACATAGGAAGAAGTTATAAACTGATAATATAAAACAGTCATGAACAAATATACGGTGACAGATAAGTAAAGAGATTACAGATATCTGTTTACATATGTGCTTGTTTAGTATTCCTTTGGGACTGAGTTAAATTTGCCATGTATTACACAAAATAATAGATTTTTAGAGTTTTAATGGTTTTCTCACCTTGGCAGTCCCGCAGAGCAGCAGCAATATCAGAAGGGCTTAGAATGTCTGTAAGGCTCATTTTAAACCTGTGCAAGATAGTATATTGCAGACAGATTTGTGAAATGCAAATACATCTTACAACAAATTGGTTTTTCTGTGTTTCAAAGAATACTGTATGGCTAACAAGACTTCTAAGAGTAGATTAATCTAATTTATCCAACCGACATCGCTGCTATCCCTAAATGAATTAGAAGAAGTAGTACATTACTTACTTGAAAATAGCAGTGTTGAAATAATGAGATGGATTACGTAAATGATGTTGTGAGTTAATGATCAATTTTTTATCATTTACTGCATTCTATTTAAGTACAGCACATTTTTAAACTCTATGTAACTGTTAATCTAATAATTAGCCTTACTGGAATACATGACATTTGGCAATACCAATAACAGTATATGCAGTGGAAAAAAGAAAGTCAAGAAGGTTTGCTTCTGTTTTTTCCCCCAACAGCTCTGGAGAATAAAAAGAAAACTGATACTTATCTATTTAAGGTCCATCCGTAAGTAATTCCAGCAATTCAAATAAAAATCTTAGAACAATGGTTATTGTACTTACTACTGGTGCAGCTCTGCACAGTAATTTAATTTAATTAATCTCAAGTCAGCTGCTCACCTTTATAGTTTTCTCAGCTAGGTAAAGGAAAAATAGCTGAGGAGATACCAGGCAAAATAGTAATGTTGGCTCTGGCTTGCCACTCTGGCTTATAAAGGATTCAAAAGGTGACAATAACCACTACTTAGGTTACTGTTTCATGGATCAAATGTTTGATTTGAGACCTAGCTCAAATTTCTTCCTTAACTAATTAAACTTTCCTTTCTGTTTATATCCTAAGATAATATGGATAAGAAGAATATTTTTTTTTAATAAATCCACTTGTGCTTGATTAAGTACAACTCTGCTATCAAAACATAGCCTTTCAGTCTCCAGATACGCTAAAGATTTTCAGTTAACCTCTGGACCTTAAGGTTGCTCGCTGGAAGATGACTCCAGCACTCAAATCCTTATGAAAAGAAACTAGTTTAGTTTTCCTAAGTCTGTTGATCCTTTGGAATGTATAAAGGAAGTTGGAGGTGAAAGATCAGAGATGACAATGTGTCATTCTGAGAAAGATAACTTGTCACTAGGATAGAGAAAACCATGCTATAATTTGGGGTGATCTTTCTACAGTAAACTTCATTTCGTATTTCCTGACCATTTTCTAAATTACAGTGCTGTCCCTAATCATTGGTAGAACAGAAACCGATCCCTTCAGTGACAGCAAAACTCTGAAAGTAGGTAAAGCTGAGTAAGCTAATCTTGTTGTCTGTATTCCTTGGAAAATTATGTATAATCAGATGGCCTACTTAATAATCTATTCTGAATATTTTAAATTACATTAAATCAATCATAGACTTACTTGAAGTGGTAGGAATCAGACTTTGGTGGTGTGGAGATAGTTTTATATACGTTTTACAACACACACTCTCACAGTCTGTTTTCTTAATATGAAATTAAAATTGTAGGTAAGAGTAAGTGGGGGTTTATTATATATTTCAAGAGCAATAATTTTGGAAAAAAAAATGAAGAAAACTGGGAACAGCAGGTATGAGGTTTTCATTCTCAGGCAAAAATCTGTTTCCATCTTTAAGGGGGTTTATGTGGACAAAATTCTAGGATGAAGACCAATAAGAAAGACGTGTATTTTGGTTAGAGTTTATTGTATAACAGTCTATTATGGTATCTAAAGTAATGTTCTCCTGGTACGTGAGTATTGTTTTATTTTTTAATGAATGGAAATAGTATGGTATGCTGAAGAAGTAATATTTTTTGTAGTAGCAAAAGTTACAAATTATACTGTGGAGTAGAGTAGTAATATATCTAAGTCTTGGTGTAACTTAATAGACTACAGTGGGCTTACTCCTGATTGGTTTAATAACAGTGAAAAAAGTATCAAGCATAGCAATTGTTCCATAGCACCTGCTTGTCTGAATTTGGATAGAGAAATACAAGGTGTAATTAACATGAAAAAGCAGGCATCATTTAATGATACTTTTTCATTTTTTGCTATCTATTTTGTACACAAAAGAAGGCAGCGTGAATCACAAATAATCAGATTTACGTTTAATCCCAAATATCAGCTGTCTAGTAATGAAAGAATGCTCCTCTTTATCTCTTTCGGTAGGAAAACTGTTTATAGTCATCTGGAAGAACACCTTCCTATTAAACCTAGGAACCATGACCTGTGGTAAATTAGTGTTTTCTAATTAAAACAAATTGAATAATGCGGATTTGTATAAGTTGAAGATCTGATCTCAGGTCTTTTGGTGTTCTTTCCATTTATCTTTTTCGTTCAGTACTGCATGTTCATATTGCTTTCTGTCTGAGATTTTCATGATATTAGGATCTATCAGACAGTGGCAGTGGGAATGAAGCCCATACTGTGCTTTCTACTGGATCATCCCAAAATAGCTTTCATCCTTGTAGGTACCTTTTGCACTCTTGTGAATTTTCTCCTTTACGATCACATCAAGTTGATACGAGTTTTTACAGAAGGGTTTTTTTACTGATTCCTTTTTACATTTTTACTTCCTAGATGTTTCTAGAGAAGAGGTTTTTTTAGACCTCTGTAATAGTGCCGTAGACGTTACTTTATAGTAGGCTTCCTTTATTTCTGCTTGCTCCTGCACATTGCTCATTGAACTCTTGGCTTTGTTTAAATTTTTGACTTGCCATACAATGCTAATTATTAAAAGCTAATGAGAATGAGGAAATTTAAATGAACTAGAGGAAAATGATGAGATCAAGGTGAACATGAAATGCTCAAGCTCAAAATATGTCTGCAACTAATTCAGGCAGAGTATTAAAATATAAGCCCCAAATGCTCAAAGAATGGCATCTGGTTACCTCATACACTCTGCCATGGCATGCAGGGTGCTGAACTGTTTTTACATGCATTCAACAGCAGTAAAGTAGCCAGAATCAGGATTATAGTAAAATATGATCTCAGGTAAAAGCGAGCTAATTGCTACAATAAGTTCACTATTATTGCTTACAAAGGGATCTTGTAATGTTTGGAATTCAATACTGACAACAAAAGTGATGCTAATCCTAGCTGAAAGATAGTTTACAAAAGTCTAAAAGAGCTGAATTTCAGAATCAAGTTGATGTCACTGTATATTGATACAGGTGGGAATCTAGGGTTACTTGTTTTTATTTATTTATTAATGACACTTCATCTGAAGTACAGGTTTCCCGCTACTACAATTAGAATGAAATAATCAGGGATGAGTATATTATATATAGAAATGTTTTAATTAGAGAATCTATTTTACAGCGAAATTATCTGACTGTTTTCTTTACTTCGGGGGTGTGTGTTAGCTTAGGTGATTGTAGTCACTCCAGAGGTTCAAAAACTGAGATCTATAAAAGAAATTTTCTAAAAGATATTATGCAAGCCATGTAATGCTGTAAGGAATATTCCTAAGAATTCAACCAGAACAACAGCTGCTAGGTAACGGGCAGTTAACAGTAGTGCAAAATCTGGTGCAGAATCTGAGTATTGCACAGTTTCCAGGAATATTCAGCACTTCTTCTTATGAAATTCAAGAAAAATTATAATTTTTTTTGTTTCTTTATTTGTTTTTGGTTTTTTTGCTCTACTAGGGACGTGTGAAAGTGCCATTGAGTTGTTCATCTGAAGATTCACGTACTTGTATAGCTTTACTTCCGTTGTTTTCCCCAAAGTGTCTTTATGCACAGTATATACAGGAATAGTAAAGCTTTTTTGTTTGTTTGTTTTTGTTTCAGACTTCCAGAATTAAACTTGAAGTTGTAGTTCTGAGAAATACAGAACATTCATATTGAGAAGTTCTTGCTAAGAATCTAAACGTATAAAACAACTGTTTTCAGATCAAGTAGCATTCACTTCTCTAATAAGCAGAGGAGAGTTGTGTTTTGATGAGTCATTGACAGGTTGTGGACTAGTCTTGTACTCTTTGTGTTCTGTTTGGTGTAAAATACGGAGTTAATTAGCAGTGGCAACCAACCAAAGACATGACTTCAAGCAGATGCAAAAGAAACATCAGCAGTTGTCTCAGGTGAGATCAGAGGAGAGGTGTTAACCTGAGACCAACTACAGTAGTGTAAAGAGATGCTGTAGCAGCTGTTCTAAAACCCATACAACTCTGTCTTTCAGCCCTGGTTGTGTTAGGGCCAGAACAATTGTATCATGATCCTGGATAACAGATTCTGCCTTTGTAATGAATTTGGAAGTAACTATGTGGTTGATCTTTAATATTGATGTCTCAGTGGTGGTGGCAGAGAATCTTAGAGTGAATATAGTTATAATCCTTGTAAAGGGCCTTACAACAAAATGAGTTATGTCCTGTCACTTCAAGTTGTCTCTTAAGGCACATACTTTAATCAAATAGGAATAATTACAGAATCCAATTTGAGTGGTTGCTTGGGCTTAATCTTGTACTACTTTTAACTGAGAGATTTAAGAACATGGTTTAGTATTTGAGTGTTTTGGTACTGTGCATTATTACAATGAAGGCTGAAATCCAGGCCTTGGAAGTCTCAGTGACAAAGCTTTCTTTTCCTGCAGCAAGTAGAGGGTATTAGCCAGAACACTGAGCAGAGATCCAGACTGTGGAATCCAACACACAAGATACATCCTGCAGCACTGTGGGTCTAGAGCAAAACGAAGAAAGGTACTGCTCTCAGGTTAGGAGAAATGCCTTGTGTAGTTTCCCTGATTTAAATTATGTCCTTATCATTCTGTGTAAATGAGATTTATTTCTGTTTGAAAATGATAGCAGAAGAGACTAACATAACTGATCAGTAGCGTAACTAATTCGTAGAGATTGTTCTGATTAAGATACTTTTTCATTTAAAAAGCTGTCTTGGAAGATCTCTGCACTACCATTTGGTATGCTATGTGCTTGTCTTTAAATGCACTTGCAAGTGCTTCTGTGACTCAGTAACACAATTTTGTGACTCTGACCCTAAACGTAATTGTCTAAGATGTTTCCGTCTGCTGTCA